CTATTTTTTTTCTTGTTTATATGCACTTTTTAATGTAAATATTTCACATAGACTTTGATTATTTGACTTACTTACTTCCTGACATGGCACAGTTTACCCCAGACCATATTGAAGTAATAATTCTAAAGTCAAATTTTATAGTCTGCTAATTTCAACTGAAAACCGACACCCTGAAACAAAAATATATTAGGTGAATTAATGATATTTCTTGTTTATATGCACTTTTTAATGTAAATATTTCACATAGACTTTGATTATTTGACTTACTTACTTCCTGACATGGCACAGTTTACCCCAGACCATATTGAAGTAATAATTCTAAAGTCTGCTAATTTCAACTGAAAACCGACACCCTGAAACAAAAATATATTAGGTGAATTAATGATCATTTTTCCTTGTCTAGAAGATAACTGAGTGGCACAGCTTACCCCGCTCTCTTTTTAAATTTCTTGTATTTGAAAGGCTTGACCACTGTGTTTGTGCTACACCCTTTCGCCTTTATTGCATCATAATGGAGTTAGAAGGTATGTAAAGGTGAAGGGTTTCATATTTCATATTTCGTATCACTGCTAAATACTGTATAAGTCTCTGTTCAGGTCACATTAGCACTGAGGCTTTTGAGAATTGAAAACGACCACATGCTTATACATCCCAGTCAGATCTCAGCCACTAACCCAACCGGTTCAAGCCCACTTCCCTCAGTATCATGCGTTCACATTGCCGCAGAAAACAATGTAGACAAAAGTTCCCTATTGCTTCTGTTCAGGTGGAGGAGAAATACACAAACCATAAGTAAAAGTGGCATGTGATGTGCACACACTCACACACTCATACACAGTTGTCGGTTAAACCTGTAGATGGATTCTCAAACCACACACCCCTCTAAAGCACAGCTACACGAACCTGTGGAGAAGCAAATGCAGACACACACATGCAGAAGAAACTTGTAGGCGTTCATTATTCATCATGTATTCTTTCCTGCGTGTGTGAGTGTGTGTTAGGAGGACTGGTTCACACAAGTCTGATACTTCTGGGCAAATGAGGTTAGGACAGGTTTCAAGCCATTTCTCTTTTTTCCATAAAAAAGGAGGGGGAAAACCCATGGGCCTGGATGGGTATTCCAGCCAGCGTATTCTTTCTTTCCCCTAACTTTTCTTGTCTCCCCCTCTTCGTTTTCCCCACAGAGCTTTGTGTTGTTTTATGTACACGTCCCTGGCCGTTTCTTCTTCCATGTGGACTATTTGTCTTTTGCATTTTATCTCTTTGTTTCTTCCCTTGCACTCTTTCTATTTTCTCTCCTCTCTCGCTCTCTCAACTTCCTGCTATCTCTCCCCCTCACTCACACCCTCCCTCAATCTCTCTTTATCTCTGTCTGTTTCCCTTCGCTCCCTATCTCTCTCTCTCTCTCCGTCCTTTCTCTTTTCCCTCCCTCCCTCCTTTCCTCTCACGATCTCTCACACGCGCACACACACACACATCTTTCTCTCACTCAGATGCACATATACTGACTCTCCTACAATGCTTGATTTTCTCTCTCTTTCATGGATTGCCCTTTCCTGCTCACTGATGAAAAATGTCCTCCACTCTTCTCACACACTGACGGTATACAGCACAGTACTTCACTCAGGTGTGTTCCATTCCATAATAGAGGCTCTTTTGTGGGACGGCCAGCCTATATCCCGGCATTAATAAGCTCAAGGGAAGTGTTAGACTAATCCCATACCTTTTCCGTAATGAGGATGAGCGGGAACACCTCAGCACACACCCGGCAATGGAGCGGACAGGTAGCCTATCGCACGTTCCTGATGGAAAGAAAACCGGAACTTTAATAGTTAATATCTTTCCTTTCTGCCCCCCCCGCCCCCCACTCTTCCACTCCCCCTCTTTTTCTCTTGCTGATGGGCTCTTTTTTTATTTTCACACTCCACCATCCCCCTTTTTCTTTTTTTTTCTCACTATCTCTCTCTCAGGCTGCTGAAACTCTTTCTCTCTCTTTCACTGCATTCTCTCTTTCTATCTCTCTTTCAGTCCCCACCCCCCTCTCGAGCGCTCTCCCACCCTCTTCTCTCTTTCTTTCTGTCTTTCTCTCTTTTCTTTGACCTCATCTTTTCTTATGCTTTGCTCTCCCTCCCCCAGTTCCTCTCTTCCTCCTTTTTTGCTGCATTCTCTTCTTCTCTCGCCCTCCCCCACCTCTTTTCTCTCTGTCGCTCTCTCTCTCTTTCTATTTCTCTTCCATTCACCCCCCCTTCCCTTCCCTTTTCTCTCTATACCTCTCTGTCTCAGTCCCCCTCCCTCTTCCTCTTATTCTCTCTTCCCCCAATGTCTGTCTCACTCCCTCCCTCTCTTTCCAAACTGCTTTTCTTTCTCCTTTTCTTTCTTTTGTCACTCATTTTTTTTTGTGCGCACTGGCTCTCAGACATTGCACGGGCGTCTTGCGGCTTAATTATTTGAGATGCGCAAATAAACAGACCTGTAGAACTCTTCCAGGGAAACATTTCAGCATATCTCACTCACTGTCTGTCTGACACCGACAGACACGCCTCCAGTGCGCCGGTGATTAGAGAGAGAGAGAGAGTGTGTGTGTGTGTGTGTGCCGGCTTGAAACATGTTTGCGATCATCTCTAAAGCGAAGATGTGTTGAGAAGTGAGCTTTTGTTAGTACGAGCGAAATATGTTTGTTGAAGGGTCATGCCGAATGTGCGTATGTGCGTGAGAAAGAGAGATAGTGAATGTGCGCGCGAAAGAGAAAGAAAGGATAAAGAGATGTGGGAGTGTGAGGAAGGGAGGGCAGAGAGACGGAAAGAAAGAGAATGGAAGAAATAGGTTTGTGTGTGTATGTGTGTGAGAGAGGCAGGCACAGTCAGTTTTGATAACAGCAACAGTAGGAGGAGGATGAGCTTGGCTCCGCCCCCTTTGCCTCTCGCAGCAATAAATAGGAGCTGGTGTTTTTTTGCTCCTCACTTCTCTTGAAGGATGAGGTCCCTGAAACATCTCAAACATCACACCAGGAGTAATGTGGTGAGTGCTCAACCCAAATGTACATGCTGTATGAAGCGGCTTGTGTTGATATATTGACTTTGAACTGTTACTTCATTGCTTTGTTAAAGTTTGCAACTTTGAATTGGGGAAATGAAATAACTTTTTTCTCTCACACAGAATACCGCAAGAGTACATTTATGCTTTAACATTTCTCTATTTTTCAGTCTAGCCTCATGTTGTCTCTCTGCCTCCAATGCTGTGTGTTTCTCCTGTTTTCTATCTCTCAGACACACACACACACGGGTTCATTCTGTGCTGGTCTTTACACTAGCTAGCATTTGTGTTTTTTTGTTTAATCTTTTTTTATATTTACTTCAGCTCTTCTCATACAGGCACGACTGCTATCTTGCCCGACTGGCTCTTTCATTTGTCTTTCTGTCTTAACACTCCTTCTCTTTCCTATTTCCTCCCTCCTTCTTTCTCATTTCTCACCCTCTTCTTTTTTCTCTGTTTCTGTCTCCTTCTTAGTTTCAGTCTTTCACTCCCCACAACCCCTCCCTCTCTCTTTATCTCTCTGTTGTACTCTCTCTCACTCAGTTCCTTTCGGTCTCTCATCCCCCGCCGCCCCTCCCTCCCCCTCTTCTTTTCCTCTCTCTTTCTTTATCTCTCTTTATCTTTCTTTCCTCACTCCCCACCCTCACTCAGTCACTCAGTCTATCTCTCATCCCCCAGTTCCCCCCTTCCCTCTCCTTCATCTCTCTTCCTTCTTTCACTTGCTTCCTCAATCCTTTTTCTCTCACTCACTCACTCACTCACTCTTTTTTTTTCTTTCTGTTTCTCCTCCCTCTGTCTGAGCAGTAATTAAAAATGACATGGTTATCAGGGCATCCAGGTTCCCCTTCTCATTTCTCGGTCCCTCTCTCTCTGCCCCCCCTCCACCCACTTCTCTTTTTCTTTCTCCTGTCTCTGCTTGTCTGTCCCTCTTCCTCTGTTTTACAGCTGTCAGTCGCTCCCTCCCTCTTTCCCTTGTGTATGGTTGTTTTTCTTAATCTTAAATCCGTATTGTGTAGCTTTCTTTTTTTCAAGAACAAATCAAGGTACCAACTCGTTAGAGGTGATAATGTGTGTTAACGACTTTCTGAGAACACACACATTTACTTGTGTGTTCATGACAGTGATTTGAGTATTCCGAGGCGTGGTAAAGTGACCTGAGCTAAGAGTTCAACCAATTTCCCCTTAATTAATCCATACGTAAGTAACAATCATCAGCCTCAAAGAACAGTTTTTCTCATAGGTGATGTATCTAACTGGATTATGTTGGCTTCAGCCAATGTGTGAACTCCACAAATTGACTAGACTTGCTGGTACTGCTTAAACTTCACTGTCCAACCTTTTCATAGTCAGCAGTGGCAGCGCTTGACCTCACAGGAAATGCTGTGGATAGTCCATGGATGTAGACTTCCCGCTCGGACGCAGACACTCTTTGTGCTTCGTGTTCGTTTAAAGACTGTGAAGGAAGGAAGCATGGCGCTCGAACAGATCTGTCTTATCTCTTCTATCTAAAGCAATCTCTGGTGGACACAGAGGCAAGGTGTTGTCAGACTATGTCTCTTGCTTACTGCTGTGAAAATTAGAAAAATTATATATACATATATATTTTTTTAATGAAAATGTTCACCGTTTCACTAAAAAGATCAGGTAACAGAACGATTTTTGAAAAACACTGCTGCCGTGTTGCCAGAAATTGCCTTTAATTTTTTACATTTCTAAAGCAAATCCACAAACTCTATTTAAACAGCTCTTATTGTTGCCCCGCATCAGTCAACTTGGTTGTTCTGACACTCATGTAGATGTGACGCTATTGCACTGACTTCATTGCTATTGTAGTGACACTGTTGCCATGACAGCCTTAGCCAGACTTTGTTGCTACGACTGTATTGTATTGACACATGCAATGGCAGATTTACTGATTCTGATTTTATGAAGTATTGCTAAGACCTCCTTGTTTTGTCCGTTGACAGGAAGAGCAGGAAGTTCCTCTGGTTCGCTGCTATTCTAAAGTGATGGCGCATGCAGTAGACGTCAGCACTCAGACTGACCCGGTGGTGGTCCTGTCCCTGGCCCAGGCTGCTGTGCTGGGACTCATATCACAGAACGAAATCTTCGGAGCCACAATTGCCCCAAACGGTTTCTACACAGGAGAGGGACGTGAAGGCCCCGCTCCTCCTGCAGAATCCATGGAGTATGAATATGCAGATCAGCTAATTGGAGCCAACGGAGACTATCTATCCGAGCCTCACAGGGAGAACAGGGGGCCAGAAGGGCTCTACGGTGCAGAACGCAGGCGTCCAGGACCCCGTGGGAGGACCAAGAGGCCCTTGAGTGAAGGAACACCAGAGGAATCCACGGAGAGGTCTCCGGACACACCGAATCAGGTGAAAGGAGAGAGGTCTGAGTTCTCCAGCTCATGTTATCTCTCGAATCCCCAGCAATCTAACAATGAACCAGAAGTGTTGGACCTAGCACCTCGGAGAGTGCCAATGAAAGAAGAGCAGTGTAGCAAAGACTACCCTGAGCCCTCGAGGGAGCCAGCCATCCAGCAGGTTGACTCTGACACTCAGACACAAGCCCACCAAAGCCCTGTGGGGCATGGAAAAGCGTTGGTGGAGTCCTCTGAGGGAGGACGGGGAAAGGAGGAGAAACAGGAAGAAGAGGAGGAGGAAGTGGAGGAGAGAGCACTGAACCTGAAAACCACAGAGGAGGATGTGAGCCCAGCAATGAGGCGCTACTATGAATCCAGTGTGACAGGATATGAGGCTGCTGAGATGGGCCTGCCGGGAGACTATGAGGAGGGCAGCCAGGCCATGATGTGGACGGAGGGTGAGAACTCCTTGGGTAGACGGATGCAGATCGACCGGCTAGATATTAATGTGCAAATCGACGAATCGTACTGTGTGGATGTGGGAGAAGGCCTGAAACGCTGGAAGTGTCGCATGTGCGAGAAGTCCTACACTTCGAAGTACAACTTGGTTACGCACATCCTGGGTCACAATGGCATCAAACCACATGAATGTCTGCATTGTGGAAAGCTCTTCAAGCAGCCCAGCCATCTTCAGACGCATCTGCTAACGCACCAGGGGACGCGGCCACACAAGTGCACCGTCTGCAAGAAGGCCTTTACCCAGACTAGTCACCTTAAACGGCACATGTTGCAGCATAGCGATGTCAAGCCTTACAGCTGCCGCTTCTGCGGCCGAGGATTTGCCTACCCTAGTGAGCTACGTACTCATGAGACCAAGCACGAGAGCGGCCACTGTCATGTTTGCACGCAATGCGGCATGGAATTCCCCACTCACGCCCACCTCAAGCGCCACCAGGTCAGCCACCAGGGCCCGACAACCTTTCAGTGCACTGAATGTCATAAGTCCTTCGCCTACCGTAGCCAGCTCCAGAACCATCTGATGAAGCACCAGAACGTGCGTCCCTATGTCTGCTCGGAGTGCGGCATGGAGTTCGTGCAGATCCACCACCTGAAGCAGCACATGCTTACACACAAGGTACTGACACAGCAGGCCCTCGAACACAAGGTACTTAAACCTCATTAGTTTTCGTAATCTCCCCGCAACCATCCTATTAGAAATTACTCCCCAGTGACTTTGAGATCCAAACCCCATCTACATTTTCCCACCACTACATGTTCCCATAAAGCTGTAGGTTAATGCGTCGTCTTCAGTTGTGTCTCAGGTATTGCCACCAAGTTTCTATGTAAATGGAGCCGTCTCTGACAGTCCCTTCCAGCCATCCAATCCGCCTCCTACCCTGCCAACTCATCCCGTTTCCCTGTCCCTTGCACTAGTATGGAGCTGTTTTGTTTTGTGTGTGCTTTGTGCAGTGAAGTGTGTCTCACAAGCTGATACTTCCTCCTTTCATTTCTCACTCTCCATGAGTATGATTCATCTTGTCATGACTGCAGTGTCAGTAAACAGAATGTGTCACAGGTCAGCAGGGTTCGAAACAAAAAACACATCGGCAGTTAGTCATTTCTTCAGCATTTATATCAACAGTTGTCTAGTTTGAGCTCTGTTGTTAGATTTATTGCTATTAGAGATAATAAATGTCACTCCTAAATGAGAACACTGGATGTTTACAGTTAGTTGGGTACACTACATAGACAAAAGTTAGTGGATACCTGAACATTGCATCTGTATGTGCTTTATAATTGGGAGTTGATTATCCCTAGCTCTCCTGGGAAGGCTTTCTGCTAGATGTGGGAACACATACAGGGATTTGATCCCATTCAGACACAAGCAGATCAGGCACTGATCTTAGGTGATGTGGCCCAAGTCCAACATCCTGAAGAATAAAGGACTGTGTGTGTAGGTGCTATTCTTTTTTTTTTTTTAAACAAATGTTCCACTTTTGCCCATCACAATGCAGTTCTTAAGAAGGATATCATTTATGAGTCACATTCAATGGTGCAGTGAAACAATATGCACAGATGTAAGAAGGCACTTAATCTATACAGACAATATTTATTCTTCAATGTTCCTGGCATTCATAAGTGTAAATACATTGCCAGTGTTCCAGATGGACGGATTTTATTTCAAGTTAAAAATATACAAGCTAAGCCATGGGTTTAGTTCAATTTGGGTATAATTGCATTATTTATCCAAGTGCATTGTTTGGTCCATCTTCTCTAAAATACAAGAATCTTCTGTCTAAATTATATATTTTTTCCATCTTTAGTTTGATGAATGTAATAATACAAACTAAGATTTGTCCCTTTAAAGCGTTCAATATTTCACAAAGCCATGCGTGAGCCAAAAAACTGTTAAATATTTCATCTTCCTAAATCTCTGAAATGTCTTTATTAGTTTGCAGTCTGTTCTTCTGTGTACTACATACTAGCTAAATGTGGGCTAAATTCATTTCTTTTTTTAAAATGTGATAATCCTCTAGCATAATTTTATTTTTTTTTGGTGTGGCTTAAATGACCTTGTTTCAAACCTCATCCAATTGAATCTCCTTGGTCATAAAACATTGTAACGTGCACTGCATCTTTCACAAAGTCACCAATACTGGTTGAATTTTGACAAGGATGCCCTAAAAACACTGGATAAAAATATTAACTGCCCTTGTGTGTGCGCAAGAGTGTCTCATCCATCATTCCAGCGCAGAGCTCAGGAGTGATGAACGACAGTCTGCCGACATGTGACAGGGCTCGAGACCCAGCAGAGAATGATTGGGGAAATTCACCATGTATTCTCCATCTAGCTGGGCAACTCAAAATGTTAATGTGTAACACAAGATTTGGTGCATTTGTATTGCTTTAAATGGTTGTGTCCTTGCATTTTGGGCTGTTTGCTCTATGCTAGGCAGGAGTTTTGGATCCGTTTCGATTCTTTTGTTGCACACTGATGTGAATATGACGTTGATAAATGTTAAACGTTGTGCTATGGACATTATTATAAATTAAAACATTTATTTACCTTTAACAGTGTGGAGTTGTGAGTGTGTATATTGTGATAAACCACACAAGAACAGGGATCCAGGTGGCTGAGATTTATTAGAGGGTCTCTCACGTGGCCCTTGAACTTTTGTTTTCTCCTGTGGTTTTATACAGTATCTGACATTACAGTACTTCATCTTACAAAAATAGACCCCTGGAGGTGCGGGAAGAGATGGGATCACCCATCAGCAGGATTAGCTAACAGAACAGCTAGGAACATCACTATGTTTTTATTACTCCTCCCTTCATTCATTATATTGTATTCATGACCTTTAAGTTAAAAAAAAATGAGGTACAAAAAGACAGACACTCTCCGTGGTGTCCAGGCCCGTTGTCCTTCATTTGCCCAGAGCCTTGTCCAGGTTTGTCTTGATGGCATCTAGGAAGTCTGTGGTGTTGACGTAATGCTCGTTCAACTTACAGCTGTGGTCACACAAAGACAAATGTTAATGACATCAGCTAAAGAAAACCTTAACAATTGATGTCAGCAGTTTTATCATTAGGGCTAGTCCTTTAATGGAGGTCAAAGACATTAAACCTGGATCATTTTTTATATGCTCTGAGTCTGAATAATTTGCTGACTTACTTGGCGAGACCATGAATGCAGCCAGCCAGATCCTTGGTCATCACACCACTCTCCACAGTCTCCACACACACCCGTTCTAGAGTCTGAGAGAACCTGCACAGCAATGGACGACGATTAACAGTTACACTTCTGTTTAAACATTACCGATACGATAGGAATGCTGCTGCATTGAAATAAAGCTCCCCTATCCTAATCCTATAGTACAGATGACTGGCAGTAATAAATGAACTTACTTGATCAGGTCTGGGTTTCCATCAAGTTTGCCACGGTGTTCCAGTCCCCTGGTCCAAGCAAAGATACTGGCAATGGGGTTAGTGCTAGTTGGCCTTCCCTGTGTTGTTAAAATTAAGTTAAAAATCAATTATGATAATTCCTTTGGCTTTTGGCTGCAGGTTCAAGCACTACATTGCAGAGTCAGACATTTCATATGCAACTGCATAGTAAAAAAATGGTATTTGCACCCAATTACAGAATACATACGGTATACAAAAAGCAGGGTATTTTAGATATTAACATTTGAGGTAAAATGTATTAATTACAAAATATTATAATTACAGTACATTGTACAATAATAATAATTACTACAGTAAACATTATACAATGGCTGTATTTACTTGATCACAAAAATATTAGAAACATATATAACACATTTTTTTTACATTAATTCAATTCAAGTTTATTTGTACAGTGCTTTTCACAATACAAATCATTGCAAAGCAACTTTACAGCAAATTAAGTTTCTACAATATTTAGTGGTAGCTTATCAGTGGTGACTGTCAGTCAATGTACATATGGCAGAAATGTACGGAAAAATCAATTAAAGACGTAATCAAACAGACGATGAACACTATTAACAGCAATTATTATGATGCAATCAAACTTATAGCAAAATGTGGTAGTTCTGTATGTTGTTTCAGGGTTGCGATCATCTGAGGCCCTCAGTACATTTCATTTAAAAAAAAAAAAATCTATATTAATATTGAAAGCTGAATATTCAGCAGCAATTACTCCAGTCCTGAGTGTCACATGATCCTTCAGAAATCATTCTAATATGCTGATTTGGTGCTCAAGAAACATTTCGTAAAATTATCAGTGTTGAAAAATGATTATTGATTAATATTTTTGGGGACTGAAACTTGAAGGATTCTGTCATAAATCAAAACAAATAAAATTTGTTTGAAATATTTATAAAATGTAACATTTCTGAATTCTGAAATACAGCAACAAATAAATGAGTTTTCCATAAAAATTTTATATTAACTCAAGGGCACATATGCTCTTTTAAAAAAGTTAAATGTTCAATGTTCAAATGCTGCTGCTGAAGGCTGTCATTTTTCCTCTCAACACAAGATGGCATAAGGCATCTAAAAATCCAGTTGTGGAACCTCCTGGTTGCTTTATTTTATTTATTTTTTGTGTTAAATATATGAAACAAATGAATGAAACTAAATAAATGAAAAACTATTTTCAGTTTTCTGTCTCAAATCTAAATTGGTATGCAGGATATGACACATAGCAAAATAAATAAATAAAATAATTGAAATAAACAAACCTTCTGGTGCTCACGATAATGCCTGGTTACTGTGCCGTGAGCGGCCTCGGCCTCAATAGTCTTTCCATCAGGACACACCAGCACAGAGGTCATCAACCCCAAAGAACCGAAACCTGCAGAGAAAACATTCTTTAATAAAGTATACAATTATTTCAAAAATCCTTTATGCTTCATGGGCACCATGTGCCTTTAAAAACGGGCAGCAGTTTGTTTAGACCATAAATAGTCTAGAGCATGATGATGACTTTAAGTGCTAAAACCAAAAACTGCCATAAAACGGTTCTGGTTCTAACTGGATGAACATGGGTGCAATATGAAACAGGCTGACAATTTTTCGAATAGACCTTTTTCTATGTTATTTACCCTGAGCAAGGATGTCAGACTGTACATCTCCATCGTAGTTCTTGCAGGCCCACACAAAGGCACCTGATGACTTGAGCACCTGAGCCACCATGTCATCGATGAGCCTGTGCTCATACCAGATCTTCAGCTTGTCATACTCTGACTTGTAGTTTCTACCCACAGAATACAAAAAAAAGACGGTTCAGTATTTTGCATTGAAATGACTTTAGAAGAAAAATACAGTTTCACATGTCAGCACTGTGACAGCATCTCAAAGCGCTAATCTCATAATTACACAGCAACACACGCTCACAGAAAACACACGGTGGAAGTGCGTAAATACCAAGCGTGCCAAAGACACTGATAAATCCAATGCTTCTCACTTCTCAAAGATATCCTGGAAAATGTCCTTGAATCTGCCATCGTAAGCCTTCAGGATGGTGTTCTTAGTGCTCATGTAGAGAGGCCATTTCTTCTGAATGGCGTACTGGAAGCAGCTGTGAGCGAAGCCAGTGATGGACTGTTAGAAAGAGACGAAAGACAGAATGTCACACAAGCAGGAAAATAGATGTTCCACTTTCACAATAGGGAATTCAACTAGGAAACGCTGGCTGTGTAGTTCCAAAGGGTGAGCAAAAATCACTCACTTCAAATGTGAAGTGGAAATGGTGTAAAAAATGAATTTCGGCACTATCAATTTGTAGTCTACAATGAACAGACACTTCATTCAGTCAATCTCTTTTGAGGGGAAAAAGAGGCCACTAGCAGCACCACCTCTGGAGCAGCCTGAATGCAGACACCTGTAACACTTGTAAAGCCAAACAGACCATTCCCCCGACTACAAACAAAGACTTCAGGACA